CCGTGTTTATGTGCGCTTAGCCGCATTTATGCGCGTTTGCATTTAGAAGCATTTTTAAAAGATCAGGAGACCCTCCCAAATGCCCAGAATGCACTGAAAAATAGTAAAATAATTAACTATTTCAGACATTTTGTGAGAAATAGAGACAGCAGAAGCAGAGAGAGCAGTATGTTTTGAGATGACCTGTCTTTTCTGGTTGTATTCACTATGGATCCCATCATGAGCATAAGTGCATTGATGTTCTACCATTTTTTCCTGCACGTGAAACCTGGAACTGACTGCACTGGTGTACTTTTTGATGAAGGAAGAAAGGCTTTGGACAGCCAAAAAACGTGTATAAACGCAAACGCGCATAAACGCATCTACACGTGATTAAAAGCGCTTGGCGTTTGAAACGCCAGTAAACTCTACTTCTGCGTGCAATTTTTGTGCTTTCAAAAAAATGCCTTTAACCTCAACTGCCTGTAAACTACTGTAAATCGACTGTACATGGACACATAGGAAAACATAAAGGAGAGTTCAAGGGCTGCTGAAAAAAATGCACAACTGCTCCTAAATTTCAGTTTAGCAGCTGCAGTGTACATGACCCCTTAGAGGGTGAATTTTGGAATAAAGCCTGAAAAATAAAGTTTGAAAAATCATATCAACACTAACATTCATCACATTGCAGGTAAAAAGAGGGAGAGCACCAGAATGGTATGCTATATTCATGTTTTATTTTTAAAATAAAACTCCAATTTCATTAAAAATAATATAACATATACAATTGCTATTATCCCAGCCATTTTGTAATTTAATGATTTTAAAAAGTAACCTTTGATTCCAATCTGCGAGATACTCCGTAAGGCTAGGTTCACATATGTGCGGGTGGGGCGGATGCGGATCCACACTAAAATCCGTGCAGCTGCACCACCTGTACAGAGGAATGCGGACTCGCAGGCAGGTGCCATTAGTTCTAACTGGAAAACGCAACCGTACTTGGAACTGAGGTTCCTGCGCAGGCTGCGTTTTCAGGCGAAGTGCAGGGACTTCTTCCCTGCGTGTCACGGGGCACAGGATTCAATTCAAATGAATGGGCTCTTGTGCCCGCGCAAAACGTGGCCTGCATGGCCGCATATATGTGAATCGGGGGGGTAAGAGTAGAGGGATGCAGCTTTCCTTAATAAAACACAGAGAGTGCACCAGGTGGTCATAATGAGGCTGATCCTTGCATTTAGGAATCTGAAAAGGATTTGATGAAATGAAAAGGCCTGCAACAAACTTTGTTAAAGTCCTTGCAATGTGTATAGATCACCCCAATGGATTGTTTTTGTTATCTTAACCAAAGTAGAGCTACACTTTAACCACTTGAGATGCTGAAGATTTGAACCCCTTCCTGACCAGGGCATTTTTGCTATTCAACACTGCGCTACTTTAACAGGCTATTGTGTGGTCATGTACCACTGTACCCAAATAAAACATAACATTTTTTAAATATAGTTTTCTTTTGGTAGCATTTGCTCACAGCTGGGTTTTTTATTTTTTATTATATAATTGAAAAAGACCAACATTTTTGGGGAAAAAAATTATATTTCTACTTTCTGTTATAAAACAGAAAAATGTTTGCCTATAGCAGTGCAATTCACTGCTATAGGCAATCATAATGTGTAAAAAAAAAAAAAATACTGATCACCTCCCCAGAGTAGTACAATGTTTAAATATATACATTTTTATATATATCACCAGTCAGTGTCCCTGATCACCGCCACACCAGTTATATGATGACACTGTACTGCACTTGTGACCATATATATATATATATATATATATATATATATATATATATATATATATAAATATTTATTTTTTTTAAATGTCTTCATTTTCCAAAAAATAATGAAAAAAAAAATTACAACTTCAAAAAACTCACCATGTTTTTTACTAAATACCGCAGACTGTCTACTTTCCAAAAAGGGGTAATTTGGGGGATATCTGTACTGTCTTGACGTTTTTTGAGCCTCAAGAAATGAGATCGGCAGTCAGGACATCAGGATTGATCAATTTGGGCACAGCTGATCACATATTGAGGTAAAAGGCCAATCACAGTGGCCCTTTACCATGTGATCAGCTGTGTCCAATCACAGCTGATCACACTGTAAACACACTGCGTTATCAGCAGTCCTCTCCTAAGGCTGACAGCGCATGAGGAGAGGAGAACGGATAAGCGGCAATCCACAGAGGGGACAGCTACACTGATAATCAGGGCACTGATGTACTTCCTCTCAGTGCCCATCAGTGTCTCCTCATCAGTGCCGCCTATCAGAGCCCATCAGTGATGCCTATCAGTGCCCATCGGTGCCCATTAGTGCTGCATATTAGGGCAGCCTCATCAGTGCCACCTTATCAGTGCCCATCAGTGCAGCCTATCAGTGCACATCAGCGTAGCTTAGTGTAGTTTAACAAAAAAAAAAAACAGTGATGATTAAATACCACCAACAGTAAGCATTATCTCTATAAAAAAAATTATAAACATTTTGTTTGGGTACAGTGAGCACAAAATTGTAATTCACAGTGTGACAGCGCTGAAAGCTGAAAATTGGCCTGGGCAGGAAGGGGGTGAAAGTGCCAGGTAAACAAAAGGTTAAAGCATTTGCACATTTCTATTGTTTCACATTAAGTTTTGGAAAAACAAATAACTGCTCCTGGCTAGAATGGATTTATTAAACATTTTTTTGCATTGATGCATGGGCAGTGGCCCCCCTCCATGCTATTATTTTTAAACTCCCTTGCATTTAAGTCCAGACAATGGACTCTTTTTTGACAATTGGCATTTTTTAATGCAACAGATTTAGCTCCCCTTAATTTCAGTAGGGATCAGGTTTTAGATGCAAACATCTGACATTTGCCAAATCCTGCTTGAACAAAACCTAGGCAGTTCAGCTCACTACTACTCAGGAGATATTTAAAGCCAATTCCACTCTTCAAATACAGCAAAAAAACCAAACAAACAAAAAAAAGTGGTAGTAAACTTTTTTTTTTCTTTTTTAACCTACGGGTAAGCTTATAATAGAGCTTACCTGTAGGTAAAATGAATATCTCTCCTACACGTGCATCATTTAGGAAACATTGTAGCGGCAACTGGTGATGTCACTGGCGCATGCTCTCTGAAGGAATGGCATACCCGTGCCATATCTTCAGAGCCGTGTGTCGAAGCTGAGACTCCCGCGCACAAAAGCCACAGCCAGCAAACTTGACAGGAAGACTGGGTCAAGATGAAAGCTTCCTTAATAGTGACAGTGCGCCGCTGGAGGGCTTTGTTTAAAGGTAAGTCTTTCATAATGTGCTAATATGCAAAGCCAGGTGTCCTGGTGTCCTGGCTGGTCCGTGTGGCTGCCTGGCAAGAGGTCGCCAGCAATCTAGTAGAGTGAGCCCTCGGGTGCAAAGGAACTGAAACTCCTGACTACTCATTGAAAGGATCTAGATAACCTCCATTTTGTTAATGTACGCCATTTTAAGTATTAAGTTAGCTTTTTGCAGATATATTAGAAGCTTAATGAAACTGTTTTAGTTGTTCAAGGATGTATCAACAGAAGCTAACATGACCCTGACAATGTCTTTGTCTGGTTGTTTCTCAGAAAGTTAGCCAAAACAATTTGTACCAAGAAATGTATATGTCATGTTTCATGTAGTTAGCTCATGATAGAAATTTACAAGTTACAGTTTTGAAACTCGCTCCCCCCTCCCTTATTTTATCTGTATCCTATATAATCTTAGTAATGTCTAATAAACTTTGAACATCTCTGAACATAAGCTGCCGTTATTTCCGTGTTCAAGGGGTGTTCCCAGAATTCTGCTGATAAACCAGGAATCTCTCCACAGACTGGGGGTCTCTGAGGGGATAAAGAAAATCATCCTTTCACTCATAAGCTAAGGAAATGGTTTGTCTGATCCATCTAGTTATTGCTGCTTGCTGTCCCTTTCTCAGGGTGCTAAGCAAAATCAAAACTTGACTCGACTTCCTGAAGTCACCTACTCTATCCAAATATGTCAGCAGACACCGTCTCACATCTAAACAATGAAAACTCTTTTCCCTCTCATTCTTAGGGTTTTGACAAAAGGACAGTAAGACAATCTCTTGTGTCCTTTGAAATCATGATGACACCTAGGACAAATAAAGATGATCTTGTCTAAGCACTACCTTGTCCTCTAGTACCACCAGAAAGGGTTCCTTGATAGACAGGCTCTGAAGGTCACAAATCCTCCTTGCTGTTGTGATGGCTAACAGGAAGGCTAACTTAAAAGACAATGTCCTAACCGAAATCTGTGCCACTGGCTCAAATGGTGGCTTGGTTAACGCCCTTAGGCTTGGTCCACAGCCTCACTCTCACTTCTGGTCCTGTGCCACGGATCCCAGGCTTTTTACCTGCCTTCTTGCAGGCCTCTGCAGACCCCACTGTGGCCACCCCCTCCCCTACAGGGGTGCGCCGCTCGATTCACCTGCCAGCCAGTATTCCCATAATAAAAAAAAACAAAAGAAAAGTGCAGCGCTAAAATCAATAAATTAAAATACGGTACATAATGATACATGAATAAAAGTTCATGGGTGATTGTAAGTGTTCGTAGAGATACTGTATTCATAGTACATATATACAGTATATATATAAACTCCTGATGTCATCAAAGGTCATCCAAATGGGGCAGAAATGGGGTGGAGATCCCTCTCCAGGTATGTGGGTCCTGGGGCTTCTGATGTGGATCAAAAGGGTGCCAGAGTTCCCTTTAACCACTAGCCTACAGGGCACTTATACCCCCTTCCTGCCCAGGCCAATTTCCAGCTTTCAGCGCTGTCACACTTTGAATGACAATGCAACACTGTACCCATATGAAATTTTTTCATTTTTTGAGACAGATAGAGCTTTCTTTTGGTGGTATCTAATCACCTCTGGGATTTTTATTTTTTCTTAAACAAACCAAAAACCACTGAAAATTGTGAAAAAAAAAAGTTTTTTTCTTAGTTTTTGTTATGCAATTTTGTAAATAAGTGATTTTTCTCCTTCACTGATGTGCGCTAATGAGGCTGCAGTGATGGGCACTGATAGGCTGCACTGATGGACACTGATAGGTGGCACTGATGGGCACTAATGAGGAGGCACTGGTAGGTTGCACTGATGGGCATTGACAGGCATTACTGATGGGCACTGAAAGGTGGCACTGATACATGACACTGATATATGGCACTGACTGGCACTGTGAGGCAGGTGGCACTGACTGGGCACTGTTAGGCGGCACTGACTGGCACTGATAGGTGGCACTGACTGGCACTGATAAATGGCACTGATTGACAGCACTGATAGGTGGCACTGATTGGCATTGATAGGTGGCACTGACTGGCACTGATGGGTGACATTGAAAGGCAGCTCAGATGGGCACTGATATGTGGCATTGATGTGCACTGGTATGCACTGATATGTGGCATTGATGTGGCACTGATGGGCACTGGCACGTGGCACTGATGAGCACTGACTGCTGGCACTGATGGACACTGACAGGTGGCACTTCTGGGGCCACACTGATCATCAGAGCACACTGATCATCAGTGCCCTGATGATCAGTGTGCATGTTCCCATCCGCGGAAAGCCAATTACCGGCTCTCCTCTCCTCTCGAGCTGTCAGCGTGACAGCTCGAGAGGAGAGAAATACCGATAACCGGCAATTCCGTGTTTACATGTGATCAGCTGTGATTGGACACAGCTGATCACATGACGAGCCAACATCTTCGGCTCTTTCCATGATCCATGATCCACTGTGTCCGAGGGACACAGCGCACCGGCGATCGCAGCGCAGAGCATGGAAGGACGTCATATGACGTCCTATCAGAATGAGAGAACCACCTTGCGCCCGTCATTGTACTATATGGCGGGCAGAAGGTGGTTAAAGGGATGGATGGGTGCAGCTCAACAGTTATACAGGAGGCTCCCTCTCCCCCCAAGGGAGTTAAAGTAGAAGAATACCCATAGCGTAGTAATTACTTGTTTAATTAGGTAAGATAAAAACATCCAGATAAAACATCAGACATCCAGGTAAGTTGGTGCAAGTGAAACAGAGCAAATCGCTGCGTACAGTGTGTGCAAATGGGACTAACCGTCCACAGTCAAAGATGGCCAAAGTATTCCCATACCCGCGAGAAGAGACCTTGTGGCCTGGTCCTCTCCTGGACATGCCTCTCCGCTGTCCTGGAAGAGGGTGGAAGGACGCTCTTCCCTAGAACACCAGACACACCTGCCTGGGAAGCTCCAATACATCGGGACCCTGGAGTGGGTAAGAGACCCTGGTTACTGCCTGCCCTCTCTGGCTCAGCTGGAGGGGGGACTTTCTAGCCCCAGGCCTTAGGTCTGTAAAAAACTGCAAACATTTCCCTGCAGGGAAACACAGTCAAAAAACTGAGGAGGGGAGGAAAGGTCAGGAAATTTAAACTGTGTCAATTTTGTTATTGTGTTTCCTATTAGGTGGAGCTTGACATCTCTCAGGTGTGTAAGCCTGGAAGATGACTAGAGAAAGGTCCATTCTATTTTGTATGTTTTCCTTCAATAGTACACTGTGTTCCAAATTATTATGTAAATGATATTTTTCTCATTTACCTAAATAATTGATGTAAATAACAGTCAGCATAATTCTCATGTTATCAACTATTAAGAGTACAATTCAAATTTTATTGAACAAACCTCCTAATGATAGCAATATTTTTGTTACACATAAAACACTTACAATGCACTGTTCCAAATTATTATGCACAGTAAGTTTCAAAACACTTTATAGGTTGTAAAGAACCGAAATTGTCATTTGTTGTGTTTGCAGCATATTTACTGAAATCAAAAGCTATTTCAATCAAACTTTTAACAACATTTTAACAGGTCTTGTTACATTGTAACATAGGACCCCTTATTTGATAGCAGCTTCACAAGTCTTGCTGTCAGGGCCTGGACTTGAACCTGGGACTTCTACTGTGTCAGGCAGTAACTCTACTCACTGAGCTACCTAGGATGCTGGACAACACTTTGCCTCATCTATTGGATAATCCTGCCTTGTGCCTTGTTTGCTCTTGAACCTTGAACTCCTTGCTCCTCCCATGAACTTCCTATATAAGCCATGTCCTTGGACTTCCTCCTTGCCAGATTATTGTGCCTTTCCAGCCAATATCCTGCTACTGTTCCTGCTGCTGTCTACACCTCCGCTACTGACCTTTGGCTTGTTCCTGACCACGATTGATCTGCTACCATTTGTGACCGACCCTTGGCTTGTGACCGACTCTGCTTTCGTCTGATCCCTAACCTGTTGATCCGCTATTGGTTCCCAGTCTGCTCATTCCCTGGTGGGGTGATCCTGAGATCTGCGACCTGGTATTAACACGCAGCCCAATCCATCTCCACCATTAGGAGCTCTGGTGAATACCGGTTAATACTTAGACCCCGCACCTCAGGTGAGCCTGCGTCATTCCCAGGGGGATCCGCTGGTGTACCTATCCTGCTGGTTCCAGGTAAGCCTTTTACTGCTATAGCAACTGGTCTCTGAACCTGACCTTACACCGTGACAGAATAATCTGGCCCACACATGGAGGCCGCTATAGCAAATGCCATGGCTCCTGTCAGGCAGCAAATTTCAGAGCTACAAGAGTTTGGTGTTACCTACCAAAAGAAATTTGCTGAACTGCAAAGTGTAGTAGAGGGGCAACTGGAAGAGATCCATGCTCTGCAGACACGATTGCTGGACATGTGCTCCCGCGATGTTGCTAATACACGCATGCCTCTGCCACTCAAGTTCAATGGAGACCGCTGCCACTACAGGGGTTTCCTTAACCAATGCCGCATTTATTTCCAGATGCAACCTGCTGCATTTAATACTGAGAGGCAGAAGGTATTGTTTGTTATAAACCTCCTGACTGAGGAAGCCCTAGCTTGGGCCTCTCACTATATAGAGCAAAACAATGCAATGTTAAACAGTTTTGCGACTTTTGTGACTGCAATGAACCAGGTCTTTGATGATCCCAACCGCTGCGCTACCGCTGAAGCCAAGCTGCATAGTTTGAGGCAGGGTAGACGCCCTGTTGCAGAGTATACAACTGAATTTCGACGCTGGATCTCAGACACCACCTGGAACCCAGCAGCGCAAAAGAGTCAGTTCCGGCAGGGGCTCTCTGAACAGGTGAAGGATGAGCTCGCCAGAGGAGAGACTCCTAACGATCTTGAGGAGTTCATCCAATTATGCATTCGGATTGACCAAAGACTGACAGAAAGAAGAAAGGAGAGATTGGGAAGTAATGGTGGCATGCGTTTTTCTGCTAATCAGTTCAGTCAGAAGGATTTAAACATTTCTTCAGATTATAACACACCTGAACCTATGCAAGTAGATACTGTTAAAAGATCAATTTCTACTCAAGAGAAGGAGAGAAGACGTTTGGAGAATTTATGTTTATACTGTGGGGACTCTGGGCATTACACAGTCAATTGTCCTAATAAAGCCAAAAGAACAATTGCTGCGACTGATGTTATCCTGCCTGAACGCATAAATTCAATTACCCAGTCTATCTCCCCATTGATCGATGAAGAAAATAAAGTTGGTCCTAAACAGTCTCATTTTGTTGTCCCTATCAAACTTTTTACTGAGGGCCATGAAATTCCTTGTTCTGCTATGCTGGACTCTGGGGCTGGGGGAAACTTTATGGACGTAGATTTTTGCCCACAATAATAATATTCTCAGGAGAAACAAATCTGCCCCTATTGATATGGAGACAGTTGATGGTTCACCTTTATCATCAGGACCAGTTACTCATGAAACAGTTCCTCTAGCACTCCAATTTCAGGCTGACCATTTTGAGACCATCAGCTTTCAGCTGATTACATCACCTAAATTTCCTGTCATCCTGGGCATCCCTTGGTTTACTACCCATAATCCCTTCATCAACTGGGGAGCACGGACCATAAATTTTAGATCCCCCCCCCCATTGTGAGGAACATTGTAGGAAACCATGTGCTACAAGTTGTCTACCAATCAGGAAATCACAGGCTGATATGGTAACTACACAGTCATATGACAATCTGCCTCCACAATACCATGAGTTTCGAGACGTCTGTGATAAGAAAAATGCGGATCAACTACCTCCTCATCGTCCATATGATTGTCCCATTGAACTGCTTCCAGGAGCAGAAATACCATTCAGCCGCATTTTCAATTTATCAGAACCTGAGTTAAAGGTGCTAAGGGAGTGGCTTGATGAGAATTTGGAGAAGGGCTTTATCAGACCCTCAACATCTCCTGCAGGAGCAGCCCTGTTCTTTGTTGAGAAAAAGGACTCCACCTTGCGTCCATGCATTGATTTTAGGGGCTTGAATAAAATCACTGTTAAAAACCGTTACCCACTCCCTTTAATCGCAGAGATGTTGGAAAGACTCCGCTCTGCCAAAGTCTTCACAAAACTTGACTTACGGGGGGCATATAACCTGGTACGCATGCGTCAAGGCGACGAATGGAAGACTGCCTTTAGAACCAGATATGGACACTTTGAGTCCCTAGTTATGCCTTTTGGCCTATGTAATGCTCCCGCGACTTTTCAGCACTTCATAAATTATGTGTTTCGAGATTTGTTGGACCAGTTTGTTATTGCTTATCTGGACGATATCCTCATCTTTTCGGACAACCTGGTGTGGAGCATCGCAAGCATGTCTGCACTGTATTCAAAAGGTTAAGGATGAACCGACTCTACATCAAACTGGAGAAGTGTGAGTTTGAACGAGCCCAGATCCAGTTCTTGGGATATATCGTTTCTTCAGAAGGAGTGAGCATGGATCCTGAAAAGATCAAGGCAGTGGTGGATTGGACTGCCCCTGGAAACGTTAAGGAAATACAACGATTTATTGGATTTGCAAACTTTTACAGGAAATTCATAAGAAACTTCTCTAAGGTAATAGCACCAATTACACAGCTGACAAAGAAAGGAGTGCCCTTTGCATGGTCAACTGAGGCACAAACTGCTTTTAGTAAGCTAAAGACTCTCTTCACATCTGCACCAATATTGGTACATCCTGATCCTGAGCTACCTTTTATTGTGGAAGTGGATGCCTCAGACTCCGCCGTGGGAGCTATCATTTCTCAGCGACGAGGAGAAAAAATGCAGCTTCATCCCTGTGCTTATTTTTCTCGTTTGATGTCATCTGCTGAAAGGAATTATGACATTGGGAATAAGGAGTTGCTGGCAATTAGGGAAGCCTTTTCCGAATGGAGGCATCTGTTGGAAGGGGCTAAGCATCCTGTGACTGTCTTCACGGATCATAAAAATCTAGAATTCATCCGTTCTGCCAAGAGATTGTCTTCTAGACAAGCACGTTGGTCACTGTTCTTTTCCAGGTTCAATTTTATTATCTCATATCGACCTGGGTCAAGAAACGGAAAGGCTGATGCCTTATCACGAATGTCGTCTGGGCCTCTCCAGGAGGACACTTCTGAATGCACAATCCTGCCTCAAAAGAACTTTCTAGGGGCCACAAGTCCTAAGGCATTCTTGAATCTTCTTAAAGAGGGGTATGAGAATGACCCACTTCTCAATCATCCACCTACGGACATTAACCTGACTTATAAGAATGGCTTTTGGATTCAAGGACATCATCTTTATGTACCTGAATCTGTTCGGGTG